CCCTATCAAAGGTGTTTCTGTCTGACACAAACAAACCCTGGGGAGGGGTCAGAAATAAGGGCTCTAGCTTACAACCCAGACACTCCACATCCAGGACAGTTTCAGCATCATGTGTGGGAACAGGAAACTCGGGTCACAGTCTTATCACCTGAAATTCCAGGAACTGTTTAACTTCTGTTTCACATTCCCTTGTGATTTCCAGGCAGAACTCCAGTGAAATGCCCGCCCCTCAGTCACCATGAGGCAAATTAAATACCCAAAACATACAAATACATGAGGGTCTTTGCCACATTTCTGCCATTTTAGCAGTGATCCAGGTAAATTCTCCTGTCAGAACTCCCAACAGGCAGAGGAATTTGGCAAACTATGCAACAGGACGTGAATCTCTATCTAACCTTTCAGTCTGTAGCATTTTCAAAGGGCTATAACAAGTCATAAAAATAATTTTCCAGATGCTGTCTGTGTTTGACATGGTTTGCTGGAAGAGTCTGGCAACATCTGTGGAGGGTTTCCAGCACCAGAGTTTTCACATCCAGGTGCTCTTCGGCTTCTTGGGAGAAAAATAAAATAAAAATAAAGCTGTACTTCCTGATATGCAAAACTATCAAACACGAATAACGAGCAAAGCCCCCCAAAACAAACTATGGGAACAGACCAGCAACAGAGAAAGGACTTTAAGGCAACAAGAGGCATCAGTGCTGCAATGCTCCGTGTTCACATCCCAGTCCCCTTCAACTGCAAGGAGTTTCCCTCCTCTGCCTCTCCCCAGCTTCCTCCTCATCCGTTAACTGTCAGACTCTTCCTCCTTCTCCTCATCCTCGTCATCGTCCTTTGCGTTGGCCTCGGATTTATCCGAGGATTCGTGGAGCAGGACGTACTCCCTGCTGCTGAAGCCAAACTTGAGCACGTCCTTCTCCTTGAGTTCGTAGTAGCGCTGGGGCTCGATGCGCTGGTTGTTGAGGAAGGTGCCGTTCCCCGAGCCCAGGTCGATGATGTAGGGCCTCACCCTGCGGCCCACGCTGCCGTCAGCACGGGTGTACTCCACCAGCCTGCAAAACAAACACTGCTCAGCCACCAGAGAGACTGCACGTGTGTGCCAACAGCAGGTGGGAAACTGCTCTGCGAGGAGGTGGGTTTGTGTGGAGGAGTTTGTGAACAGCTGGCTTGTTGACAAAGGTCACACTGATATAATACCGTTAGTTAAGGAAGAAGGAGATAGGTATAGGAGCCAGCAGTCAGTGTCTAAACCAGGCAAGGGCACTGTGCCCTTGGTGCAGCATCAGGATGGGGGAGAGGATGGTTAGTTAGAAATATGAAGAAAAGATGAGAACAGCTGCAAGATAGTAGTCACAAGAATGCTAAGGTAGGCGTAGTTAGCTGATAAGTAACTAACCAATACTGAGCTCGCCTTTTGCAATATCTATTAGCCTCATTAACACCAATATAAATGTGTGTGCCTATCAATAAAGTTCTGAGATTTGCTGATCACTCATATTGAGTGCCGCATTTCTCCCGCCGATTACCACAGGTTTGTGCAGTGAACGTTCATCTGTCCCAATGAGAGCAACAAGAAACTGAGACAGAGCAGGTTCTGAGAGAGGCTGCGTCACTGCCTGAACTTCTGCTGGTGGAACACAGCAGCTCCTGCACTGGGACAGTGTTGTATTTGCCAATGAAAAAACCTTAAATTCCTCCCAAACTCTCCCAGTCCCCGAGCTCCCACCAGTACTGGAAGACAGCTTATAACTAGGACTCTTGTAACTTTTTAACCTATACTGTAAAGACATTAACTCACTTTTCTTCTTATGTAAAAGAAACCCCAAAACCTGCTTTATCAAAACCAATTCAAAAATCATCTCAAGCTCCTTCCAAGCCCCTCCCAGTCCCCGGGCCTCACTGAACTGGAAGACAACTTGTAACTAAGTACAACTTGTAACCTTTTAACCTATACTGTAAAAGTGTGAACTAAACTCACTTACCTATGTAAAAAACCAAACTGTATTATTAAAAACAATTAAAAAACCTTAAATTCCTTCCAAACCCCTCCTAGTCCCAAGTCTCACCAGCACTGGAAGATAGCTTATAAGAGTTTTGTAAGTTTTTAACCTATATTTACAAACATGAACTAAACTAACTTTTCTTAATTATTAAAAAAAAAAAAAAACCCAAAAAAAACTGCATTACCAAAACAAATTCAAAAATCATCTCAAATTTCTTCCAAGCCCCTCCTACTCTCTGAACTCTCACTGGTACTGGAAGACAGCTTGTAAGAGTCAATCATCTCAAATTCCTTGCAAGCCCCTCCCAGTTGCAGCTCTCACCGGTACTGGAAGACGGTGTGCTGCTTGGAGCAGGAGGGGTGGTCGATGGGGATGTGGTTTATTAATTAATAAATCTTTTAAAAGCCTTATAACTAAGAGTCTAGTAACCTTTTAAACTATACTGTAAAAACATGAACTAAACTCACTTTTATTACCTATGTAAAAAAAAAAACAAAACCCAAACTTATTAATATCAAAACCAACTCAAAAATCTCATCTTAAATTCCTTCCAAACTCCTCCCACTCCTGGAGCTCTCACCTGTACTTGAGGACTTTTTATAACTAAGACTCTTATAACCTTTTAACTTATACTGTAAAAATATGACCTAAACTCACTTACCTATGTAAAAAACCAAACTGTATTATTAAAAACAATTAAAAAACCTTAAATTCCTTCCAAACCCCTCCTAGTCCCAAGTCTCACCAGCACTGGAAGATAGCTTATAAGAGTTTTGTAAGTTTTTAACCTATATTTACAAACATGAACTAAACTAACTTTTCTTAATTATTAAAAAAAAAAAAAAACCCAAAAAAAACTGCATTACCAAAACAAATTCAAAAATCATCTCAAATTTCTTCCAAGCCCCTCCTACTCTCTGAACTCTCACTGGTACTGGAAGACAGCTTGTAAGAGTCATGTAACTTTTTAAGCTATGCTGTAAAAACGTGAACTAAACTCACTTACCTACGTAAAAAAACCAACCTACATTACCAAAACCAATTCAAAACCCTTAAATTCCGTGCAAGCCCCTCCCACTGCCGGCTCTCACCGGTACTGGAAGACGGCGTGCTGCTTGGAGCAGGAGGGGTGGTCGATGGGGATGTGGTTTATTAATTAATAAATCTTTTAAAAGCCTTATAACTAAGAGTCTAGTAACCTTTTAAACTATACTGTAAAAACATGAACTAAACTCACTTTTATTACCTATGTAAAAAAAAAACAAAACCCAAACTTATTAATATCAAAACCAACTCAAAAATCTCATCTTAAATTCCTTCCAAACTCCTCCCACTCCTGGAGCTCTCACCTGTACTTGAGGACTTTTTATAACTAAGATTCTTATAACCTTTTAACCTATACTGTAAAAATATGACCTAAACTCACTTACCTATGTAAAAAACCAAACTGCCTTACCAAAACAAATTCAAAACCTTTAAATTCCTTGCAAGCCCCTCCCACTCCCGGCTCCCACTGGTACTGGAAGACACCTTATAACCAAGAGTCTTATACCTTTTTAACCTGTACTGTAAAAACATGAACTAAACTCACTTATCTAAAAAAACCCCCAAAACTGCCTTACCAAAACCAATTCAAAACCCTGAAATTCCGTGCAAGCCCCTCCCACTGCCGGCTCTCACCGGTACTGGAAGACGGCGTGCTGCTTGGAGCAGGAGGGGTGGTCGATGGGGATGTCGGCGATGCGGCGGTGCCGGCCCAGCAGGTAGGCGCTCTGCCGGTGGATGTACATCACGGGCAGGAACTCGTCGTTCTTGAAGGGGTACAGGCGCCAGCGCGTCTTGGGGATGCGCGCCTCGGGCGGCTCGCTGTACTTGATCACCACGCCGCGGAAGGTGTTGGTGTCCTCCAGCAGCGCCCCCGACAGCTCGAAGCTCGGCTTCTCCTTGTTGGCGGCGGGTTTTTCCTTGGCTTTGCCCTCGGGCTGCCAGGGCTCCGCGTTGGGCTCGCCGCTGCCCTGGCGGTGCTCTCGCCGCCGCTCGTTGTGCAGCTCCCTCTCCGCCTGCTGCTCGCGCAGGTTCTGCGCGTCCCGCTCGTGGCTCCGAGCTCCCGGCCTGTCGCCGGCGTTCCTCTTCCTGTCCCCGTGCTCCTTGTGCCTGTCCCCGCTCCTGTCCCGCTCCCGCGGCCTCCGCTCCTCGGCGGCCCTGCGGCCGTGCTCCTCTCGCTCCTGGGAGGGACAACGGCCATCAAGGAGCGGCACGGCGAGCCCGGCCCTCGGGAAAAGCCCGGGCCCGCACACCGGGGATGCGTGTGCAGCTCTGAGGCCGCGTGGAACCCCTCTCCTTGCCAAACTACGTGGGTTCCCGCAGTTCGCAGGGAATAAAGCGGCAGAGCCAGGCGGTGCAGGCTGCTCTGGGAAAGGACACAGCTCGCAGGGACGCCTGAGCTGCGGCACGGGCAGGGCTCCGACAGCAGCCACGGGGGGCACTGAGCTGGGCAGCGGGAGCCCCTGGCTCGCCCGGACCCTCCCTCTGCTCACGGGACCCAGTGGGAGCTGATAAATGAAGAGACGCCTTCTGCACCGGCCATGGCCGAGCCCCGGGAACTGCGCCCGCCGGGCCCCGCCGTACCCACAGCCCCGCTCACCTGCTTCACCCTCACGGCGCCGTGGTGCGGGCTGTGGCTGCGGCTCCTCCTGCCTCGCGGGGAGCGGCTCCTCCTCCCGGACCTGCTCCTCCGCCGGGGCGACCTGGGGGAACAACGGGAGGGGTTGAGCGGCGGGGCCGCGCCGGGCGTGGGGCCGAGCGGCTGGGCCTCCCTACCTGCTGCCCGCGCGCGGTCCTGCCGGGCCCCGCCGCTCCTCGCTCGGCGGCGACCGGCGGCCGGGCGCGCCGCGGCGCCCCGGCCGCTGCTACGGCGCTGTCCCGTGGTGTTCCCGCAGGGTCAGGCCCCGCGCAGCGCCGCCAGCTTCTCCAGCACGCAGCAGCCGCAGGAGCTCCTGAACGCCATCCTGCCGCCGCGGTGAGCGGGGCCGGGCCGCGGCCGGCGGTGCCCGCGGGGCGCCCGGTGCCGCCGGTAACGGCCGGTGCTTGTCTGGCAGGGAGTGGCAGGAGGCGCACAAGCTCTGGGTGCAGGAGGTGTCCACCGCGCCCAGCACCCGCCGCGACGTCGTGCAGCTGCAGGAGCAGCTGGACCGGCAGCTGCAGCAGCGGCAGGCGCGGGAGACCGGGCTGTGCCCCGTGCGCCGGGAGCTCTACACGCAGTGCTTCGGTCAGTGCCCGCGTGGCTCGCTCGGGGGGCGGCCCGGCGGGGCTGCCCGCTCCTGGAAAGCTTCGAACCCTCGTGGTTACCCTCTGAGCTGCACTGCAGCCGAGTAATGAAAGCCGTGCGTGTGTAACGCGCTCTAATGGCAGCGCTGGGCCCCCAAAGGTGAGGGGTGCAGAGCAGGATCCCCTGAGGGCTCCCCCATCGCTGCAGCAAGTCAGGACACCTTTTGAAGCGTTTGCTGGTGCAGCTTTAGGGGATCTGCATCGCTGGCATTACCCGAAGGGCTGCACCACCACTCTGCTGTCACCTGCTGCAGTGTAACAAAACAATCAATTATTGCTGTCTCTAGTACATAAAATGTGCTAAATGTGGGCCCATTTACCCCAAAGGCCCACATTTACCTTTCCAGGATCCTTTCTATTCCCTCAGAATCCTCTTTAAAAGGATTAGGAAGCTGAAGCTTAAGGCATCATTTCCAGGGCTTCATTTCCCCCTCAGGGCCCCATTTACCCTTCCAGAACCCTATGTATTCTTTGATCACTGTCTTTACTTTTCCAGGACCCCATTTATTCTCCGACAACCCTCTTTACTCTCCATGACCCCATTTACATCCCAGGCCCCCACTGACCCTTCAGGGCCCCATTTACTCTCCCAGAACCCTAATTTACACAGTCACGTAATAGGGACAATTATTATTAGCAGTCTTAAGCTGCTCCAAGGGAAATATAGGTTGGATATTAGGAAAAAGCTTTTTCTGGAATGGGTGACAAAGTACTGGAGTGGTCTGCCTGGGGAGGTGGCAGAGCCAGCATCCCTGGGTGTGTTTAAAAAGAGATTGGGTGCCAGGGTTTGGTTGAGATTGTGTTAGGGTTGGACTTGATGATCTTGAAGGTCTTTTCCAACCTGGTGATTCTGTGTGTGATTCTGTTTGTGATTCCATGACTCCCTGTGTGATTCTGTGTGTGACTCTGTGCTTGATTCCATGTCCCTGGCTGTGGCAGCACAACAGGTAAATAGTGACATCGACTCCATGCATTTTACAGAAGGCTGATAATTTCCTTTATTAAGAAACCCATTACTTTTTAATACCCTAGTTTACTACAGGCAGACCTAATTGGCCCTTTACTTAAAACACCAGCACCACTGCCCAATTAAGAACACCCGCTTTGGCAAACATCTCCATAACCCATTCCACAAATCAGCTGCAGCAAGTCAAGATAAGAATAATTTCTCAGTCAAGATAAGAATCATCTCTCATTCATTTTCATGACTCCTCAGAGCCTTTCCCAGAAGGATATCTAGGAAAGCTGACTCTCTCTCAGTTTCTCTGTTCCTCCCAGCGGCCAGAGAGCCGTTCCGTGTTTCTCACTGCAGAGAAGCGAGCCCGCAGTCGCAGAGGCGCTGCATGCGCTGCAGGCTCTGCTGCAGGCTCGCTGCAGGCTCTGCTGCAGGCTCTGCTGCAGGCTGCGCTGCAGGCTGCGCTGCAGGCTCTGCTGCAGGCTCTGCTGCAGGCTCGCTGCAGGCTCTGCTGCAGGCTCTGCTGCAGGCTCGCTGCAGGCTCTGCTGCAGGCTCTGCTGCAGGCTCTGCTGCAGGCTCTGCGCAGGCTCTGTGCAAGGCTCTGCTGCAGGCTCTGCTGCAGGCTCGCTGCAGGCTGTGCTGCAGGCTGTGCTGCAGGCTCTGCTGCAGGCTCGCTGCAGGCTCTGCTGCAGGCTGTGCTGCAGGCTCTGCTGCAGGCTCTGCTGCAGGCTCGCTGCAGGCTGCGCTGCAGGCTGTGCTGCAGGCTCTGCTGCAGGCTCGCTGCAGGCTCTGCTGCAGGCTGTGCTGCAGGCTCTGCTGCAGGCTCTGCTGCAGGCTCGCTGCAGGCTCGCTGCTCCCTTGCAGACGAGCTGATCCGGCAGAGCACGGTGAGCTGCGCCGAGCGGGGGCTGCTGCTGCTGCGCGTGCGGGACGAGCTGCGCCTGACGCTGGCCGCCTACCAGGCGGTCTACGAGAGCAGCGTGGCCTTCGGCGTGCGCAAGGCGCTGCAGGCCGAGCAGGGCAAGGCCCACCTGGAGAAAAGGGTGAGCAACCCGTGGTTCGATCAGCAGGGGAGAGGGGGGAGACTGGAATCTTGATTTCATGTTTCAGAAGGTCGATTTAATAGTATAATATAATGTAATGTAATGTAATGTAATGTAATGTAATGTAATGTAATATAATATAATATCCATTATTTAAATTATATAATATAATATATATTCTATATTCTATATTATATATTATATTTAATATTTTACATACTATATCATATAGTATACAATATATAATATACATTATATTTGCCCCTGTTTGGTTCAGCAGCAGGGGCCAAGACAAATCAAGGCATGCCCCATCTGCAATATTGGTAATAATCCAATATACCCACAGAAAAGGGTCTAAAGGCCACAGGGTGTTAGCTTGTTTCCTTTCCCATAGGCTGCACAGTTTAAAGCAAAGACATGTTTAACAAAGCAAAAAGAAGTTTAGAGTTTAAAATACAGAAAACAGAAAAATTGTTACAAAAGTAAACAAAAAAATTTAAAATTTAATACTTGAAATGTAAGGCTTAAAATGTAAAATGGAAGTTTGTGTATTGGCCAGACCAGCCAAAGCACGCCTCATCTGCAATATTCCAATATACCTGCAGAAAAGGGTCTAAAGGGCACAGGGTGTAAGCTTGTTTCCTTCCCATAGACTGCACAGTTTAAAGAAGAGACATGTTTAACTAAGCAAAAAGAAGTTTAGAGTTTTAGAGTTTAAAATACAGAAAACATAAAAATGGTTACAAAAGTAAACAAAAAAATTTAAAATGTAATACTTGAAATGTAAGGCTTAAAATGTAAAATGGAAGTTTGTGTATTATAACATGATCAACTAAGAAAGTTTACAATGTAACATAAACCTAGAAGATAAAATAAAGATTAAGTAAAAATAGATTTTATTTATTAATTAAATAATAATAATTAGTAAATTAATAGTATAATATATAATAATATTAGTTTTATTAATTAGTAAATATTTTAAAAGTCTTATAACTAAGAGCCTTGTAGCTTTTTAACCTATATTGTAAAAACATGAACTAAATTCACTAGTTTGCTAATTCCAAACCTCCAAACCTTCATTTGCTAATTCCAAACCTCCACCTTCCTGTTTGCCTTACAGTGCTTATGTCAGGTTTCTGTTGTGGTGGATTATTTCATGGGAAGATCCTTCTTTGATAATGTTTAGAAAATTTCTGCTCTTTAAATCTTTACAGCTTCCCATTGTACAATGGATTCTAAATAATTACATTAAAAACATAGTCCACTGTCTCTGCTCGCCATGTATGAACTATGATACTGAATTTCTTTCTCTTTTTCTGTTGAAAACTATGCAAAAGCAGAGTTTAATTAGTCCTAGTATCCCAATTAATATAATACAATTATTTTACTGAAACCTGTTCTCTTATTTCAAGTCTTCACTGAAAATTAAAGTGGGACAACGTGAGTGACACCTTGGGGCCCTGTGATGGAGCTTTCTGCACGTGAAAATAGCAAATTTTATATCCTCAAACTCATTGTTTCCGTTTCCACAGGAGGGCAGCAAAGACCATGAAAATACTCAGCTCGCTGTCCTCGGGCTTAGCTGCACTTCTGAAGCTTGTTGTACAGCTTTAGAAACTGCACCACCACCACTCTGTCCTGATGCCTTAAATTTCAGCTCTTGTATTTCTCAGATTCTGCACTGCATTAGTATATAATTCTGAACCTCATACAGAGTGTTGGCAAGTTCTCTTCACAGTTTAGTTAGCCAAAACAATCATTTTTCCATTCCTGAGAACACCATTATAGCTTCAGGCCCAAAAAGTATGAACAGCAAATTGAGGAGAGCAAACTGGGAGGATGGGACCTCATAACCTGAAGTTATAATTGGACAATTAACCCCAATATGGAAATGGACCAATACTTATAAAAGTGTGAAAACTCTTGACCTGTGGTGCATTTTGGGTGTAGCCACAACCAGGCTCTTGTGCTGCCCGAGGTGTATCCTTTGAAGGGTTTTTAATAAAACCTCCTTCATTCCTTTAGCTCTGTCTAGCCTCTGTTCTGGGTGGCCTCTCAAAGTATCAGTCCCATCTGAACTGAAAATTGACTGTTTGCTAACAAAACTTGAGACAGCTGTACTCTTTTCCAAGATTGCAGAGCTGGAAGAGGAAAAGGAGGCGCTGGAAAAACAAGTGAGTGAAGAGAAAGCGAAATGTGAGGCCATTGAAAGGCAAGAAACTGAACGGAGGGAAATAGAAGAGAAGAAACACAGTGAAGAGGTTCTGTTCCTCAAACGGACAAACCAGCAGCTGAAGGTCAGTAAAAACCCAGAATTCCAAATACTAGTGGTAAAATTCTCATTAAAACCATTAAAGCCCCAGTAACACAACACACCATTTAACATTAATATTACCCAAGAACAACTGTGCAGGGACTGGGTAATTATTTGTGCTTGTGGCTTTGGGGAGAACAGAGCTTCTGCTCTGTACTTTGTTTTTAAAAGGAAAAAAAAAAAATCCCACATCTTTTGAGTAAGGAAAGAATGTCACCCTGAACAGCATCAAATGTTTCTGGCTACAGCTAAAAACATTTCCCTTAGAGCAAGCTGCTTTTCCTGCAGATCCTACTTTTCAACTCGCATTTTCAGGCTGCCTTGGAATGTTTTAGGACACAAAATCTTAGATCAGATGTGTGTTGCCCCTGAATCCAATTCTTCCTTGAAGTACCTGTGCTTGACCAGCTGCGTGTGCCACTGCTGGGTTATTGTAGCTGCTCCCATGCATCCACTAACTGGCATCAAATTTTCTCAGTAATCACAAAACTTGCTGTTCCCAGCTACTCCTGTCCCAGAGTCAGTTCATGTTCCAAATGCTAGAGAGCCAAATACTTAATTTAGCTCACATAGTCCAGCTTCAAATCAGAGGATTCAGACCACTGTTTCAACAGCTTTTATTTAATTTCCCCCTCGATGCTTCACATTCTAAACAGAGTCTCTCATCGTACAGAGCCAAGGCCAGCTCTGTTCTCCTCAGAATGCAGCAAGTGTGCATGCCAGGAACGACAAACTAATTTATAAAACATGTAGCAACGGAATTGTTGGGGAACAAACCTGGCCTGGCTCTCCTGGCAGCAGCACAGCATCCCTCAGCTCCTTGCTGTGAACATCCAACAGAAAATTTAGCCCTTCACAGCACTGAGGGTTTATTTTTTAGGTTAGGAAATCTAATTTGTCTCACTGTCTCATTTGTTTTTCAGGCCCAACTTGAATGCATCATTGCAGCAAAGAATTAATTGTTTTGTTGTCCTCAAGGCAGGCTCAGAAGAGCTGTCAGAGCAAGAAGCTTGCAATTAGTGACAAAGATTTGTCTTCCTAAAATGATCTTGAGTTTTCACTTACCAGTAACAGCAGGCAGTGTAACTGTGTTCTTTCTTTCTCTCTTGAGGAGCTGAAATTCAAGAGCTCCATTAATTACTGCTCCCTCCTTCAGAGCCATCTCAGCAGTCAGCTCTTTGAACAGTGAACTTGCCTGTTGGTAACGTGCTAATGACCTTCAAAGCAATAACTAATAAACATTTTTAAATGCAAACCTCTCTCTGACGTTATTAATTTGAAAATGTTGTAGAAGATTCAGAAACAATATAGAAATGCCTGCAAGAAAAGTAAGTCATCTGCACCAAGAAAGAAATGGCAGCTCACTCTTGGACAGGTGTCTTGGGGGCATTTCCTTGAGTACCTGCAAGCTGCTGTCAGCTGTACATGGAAATCCCTTGTCAGAACCATCAGCAGTAACTGAGCCCAGGCAACACCAAAGCTCTGGGAGTGATTGTTTCTGGTGAAATGAAGGGGCACAATGGCAGTCACAAATTCACTTCTCAATGGAAGCAAATGAAATCCCTGCTTGAGGTACCTCTGTGAGCAGCTGGTTACACAGAAGGTGAACAAGGGAAAGAGAATTCCCTGTAGTCATGTGAAAACCCCATAAAGCCAGTTTCCAGAACAAAACCCACCCAAACCCCACCACTGAGCAACACTGGAACAGCTCTTTGGCTACTGCAGTGTTTGCTGGCCTGGGACAGCGATGTGGAAATACCATCAGCTCCAACTGCACAAAGAACTTTCAGATGATGCAGAAACAAAGAGAGAGATGCTGCTCCTGGGGCCAGGACAGACCGGTCACACTGGGCTTTGAACAGGAACCGCAAGTTTTATAGTAAAAAAAGCCACCGCATACTAGAGCTGTTTTATGTAAAATTTAATAGAATAAGCAGCTATTGCTTATGTTTGTATTTTTTCTGCTTTGATCTTTGTCCCTCCAAGCCAGTTTTTTTCTTGTTCTTATTCTTATTTTTCACGTTGTGAGTTTCATAATACCGGACTCCGACTTTCTTGGAGCGCTGCTGCCTCTCGGCTCGTCTCCTCTGCAAACACAAAACACATTAGCAAATCCCCAGCATCCAGAGCCTCAGTGTCTGCAGCTCTCCAATGGTGTTCACTTTGCATTCCACACACGTTAAGTAAAATAAATAATTTCAAACAAAATGTTACTCATGTGACTCTATACAGAACCCACCCGCCCTGCTCTTAGGAGAGTAAGCTCTGCTTCAGTCTTTGCAGCAAAGATACAAGATTCAATCTGGTGTGCACAGCCAGGTAAGAGGGGGGTGACAGAAGCTGTCACAGATCATTCATAACAGAATTCAGTTTTTATTTCCCTTCTGCTCATGCCCAAGTCTCAAAGGTCTTTAGTGACAACAGGCTCTTTAGTGATATCGCCAAGGACAAAAAAGCCAGCTTATTTCCCTGCTCAGCTGTACTACAGGAAAGCACACTTACTTCTTTGGATGTGAGCTTCTTACTAGGCTGTTTACCCAACTGGTCATCATCATCATCACTTTCCTCCTCTTCTTTCTTCTTTCTTTTCTTCTCTATGCTGCCTGCAACAGCAGAGATCACACACTTGGTATCTTCCAGAACACTCATTAGTTTGAAGACCTTCAGGCTGAGGTCACCATTTCAACTCCTTGAGCAACACATTCCCTTGGCTGTATTTAAGAACTTCTATCAAAACAACATGAATGTTCCTCACAAGAGAATCACAGCTATTACTGTGAAAACTGCTCTCAAGAAGCAGGTTGCTCCAGCCCCATCCAAGTCCAGGAGAATTCCACAGTCCTGCCAGGACAGGGCTCTCCCACCTGATTGTGCCTTTACTCAAACTGACTACAACAACCGAAGCCTCGGTAAAAAACTATAGCCTGAAGTATCTGCTTTTATAACATCCCAAACCCCATCCACTCCTTCCTGTAACACCCAGGGCTGCTCTGGCTGCAGCCTGCTGGGAGCCCAGGCTGCTGGAACACAAAACTTGCCTTCACTGGATCTTCCCTCACTGAGAGGGACATCTCTCCATCTCCCACCTGTTCCACAGGCAGGCTGCACCAGGTGAGCAGCAGCCCTTGGGACAGCTAAAGGGAGATTTTAGTAGTTTTAGGGGGAAAAGATCTTGCATGCAGGATCCAGTGAATGCTTCTCCCCTTAATGCTATTTTTTTCTCTGATTCATAGGATTTCCAAATGTAGATTAAGAACATTTACTAATCTTGTTTTACCTCTGTCTTCAGTTTCTTCGGGTTCTTCATCCTTCTGTACGAATTCTGCAAACACTGTGTCACTCAGTCTCTTGGGGATTCTATGGAAGATAAAACCAGCAATAAAAGATTGTTGTTACACAAACAGTGACCACCTCTGAGAAGCCATCAGACTCCAGCAGATCCCAGTCCCCTGTCAGCATCAAAGCCAGTCTTTGCAGCAGGATATTGCAATACCCTTTTTGCTGGAGTTACTGTGCTTGTGTGCTATATGAGAGAGAAAATGTAACACTTAAACCTTGAAATCTGTCTCCTCACAAGGCTGGTGGGTGAGCTTTGCTACAACTGGGCCTGCTGTATGGGCCAGGATTCACTACACATGCACAAAGACCCAGGCATATCCATTGGGATTACCCAACATAAGGAGAGATGCAAGGATGCAGTATTGCTGCCCACATAACCAAGATAATGCTAATTCTAATCCATAGTTTAAGAGGCAGCTTTCCAAAAGTGAGAACATTTTTAATTTGCTGGTAAATAGCAGCTCTTGGAATAATCTTTCAAAAACAAACTGCTACTTGGCCCAATTCCCAGCCCTTATAGCTAAGCCAGATAAGCTGTGGCAAAGTTACATGTGTCAAGCAAGTCAGAAATGGAGTCCATCTGCAGCAGAGCCTCATCAACCCTTTCCCCCCTGCAGTGTATTGGAGAGATTCAGGTACCTTATTGCTGAGAATCTCTTGGCCTTGGCTTTATCCAAAAATTTTTTGTATTTTGCAATCTTGTCCTCCAAAGCCTTAAGAACTGCTTTAGAGCTCTCCTGGGAACCTGGTGCAGGCACCTGCAATTCCTCCTCTCCTTGATCCTGCTGTTCCTCATTCTCCTCTTCCTCCTCCTCCTCCTGCTCCTCCTCTCCAGGTGAATCATGGTCTGTGTCATCAAAACCTGGCACATCCACAGGAACCAGGTCTTCTTCTGAGAACTGAGGTGCCACGTTAATCCTGCCGAAGTTCTGCCGAATGTTGGACATGAGCTGCCTGATTTCAGTGTTTGTGTTGTTCCCCTCTTCTGCTGGCTCCACACCTGGTGCCACCAACTCAGAGACTTTCTCCTCAGTGATATCTTGGCTGGATGTCACAGCTGCTTCCAACACAGGAGGCTGTAAGGAAGAACAGAATGTGTTATCCCCGAAGTCTATCCCACTATCTCCAGGAACAACTTCCATTTTCTGTTGTTAGAAAAAGCCTAAGATGACAACATGATTACTGACATTTCTGGTAGACATCTCTGTAAACAGCACTGCTACCTGGTCCTCACCAAATTCAGGTGTCACCTGAAGGACCATGCTTGGGCAGAGCCCAGGACATGCACTGCCCAAGGTCCATGGCATTCTGGGAAAAGCAGCAGTGACTACCATTAGGAAAACCAAGTATGTGGGAAGAGGAGGCACAAGCATCACATTCTTACCTGGGGATCTGGCTGACCTGGTTGATCTGGTTCTGCAAATGGTGGCATCACAAAGAAAGGGATTCTGCCCCTCTGCCAGTCATTGAGAACCATCTTGCTCACAGTCTGCAAGTCAGGCTCACCACCCTGAGAAAAACAGAACAGTTTATGTCCATGTTTGGCACACAGCCCCCCGATGCCCCATGAGCAACAGAAAGATTTCCCAGGTTCAGAGCAGGCCACAGGCTCCTCCAGCCCACAAACACAGGCAGCTGGCACACCTTTAGCAGTTTTCCAGTCCTAGCAGCGAGTTTCTCAAGGAAGTCTTCTGTATCTGTCCAGCAATCAATTTTGTATGTCTTCCTGATGTATTCTGCTTTGGCTCTTTCCAGCACAGCACCAATATGGTCTTCAGGGCTCTTAATCTTCTCAACTTGAACCTGAAAAAGCACAGCAGAGGATCAGTAGAGGATCAACCCTCTGAGACCATCACAGTGCCAACAAGCAAAGCCTTCCAGCAGCCAGTGCAGACACATACCACTCCCTTCAGCACAATGTCTGTCTCTGAGTCTCCTGATGGATAAACCACCCCGGGGCAGTCGATGAGGAAGATCCGCCGCATCAAGGTGATGTACTGCCACACCTGCAAGAGACCAGCAGCTCCCCATCAGCACCTGCACACAGGCCTGGCTTCATTCTTGAGGACCAGAGTCAGAGAAACAGAGCCTGACCCAGCATTTGGGTCAGGAGAGCACAGACAGGGAGTGAGGGCAGCTGAGCATTCCCATCACAGCCCTGCAGTACAGCAGTGTGGGAACTGGGGAATGCCTCAGAGCAGGGACTGCCCACGAGCCCCTCCTCAGGGTCACACAGCCTGTGCAGGTCAGTGCAGAACCTGACAAGGTCAGCAGGCTGATTTCAATGACCACATCTGCATCTTTAACACTGGGATGTTCCTACCTTTGTTTCCCCTGCAATGGGGGCCACGTTGCAGACCTTCTTGGAGCGCAGGGTATTGATCACTGAGCTCTTGCCAACGTTGGGGTAGCCAATGAATCCCACACTGATCTGCTTCTTGTCAGAGTGTAACTGGTGAGAAGCAACAGATCCTTTTACATCTTGGAGTGAGGGACAGAATCACCACTGGAGTTCTGAACCCCGAACGCTAACAAAGCAAAAGACCACACACAGTAACCCCCCAAACCAACCACAGACCCCCAAAATTGTTTTGTACCTTTCCAAACTGCCTTAGGAGCTGTATGAAAGCACCTTTGCCGAATGGGTTTGTGAGGCTGGCGTGGAAAGCCAGTGTTGGATACTCCTGGGAAAGGACAGCAACCCAGCGCTTCTGGAGAGGCAAAGGGGACTGGGTTAGAGACTGGGGCTGGACAGTGACACCCTGAGCTCAGAGAGGAGGACACAGCATCTGCACTGGGCTCACAACTGCAACTGGCCATCAGCATTGCTAGGGAAGAACCTTTGAAGCACTTCCCCAGCCCAACAGCTAAAAGCCCTGAGTATTGTTTGTATTAAAGACAAACAATTTCCCAAAAACGCCTTCACTGCTAGCTAAAACTCATTAGTTTAATGACATAAAGCAAACCAGCTGGGGTGGATATGGATCCTAGGCAGACTAACATTCAGCACACTCTGGAGACAACAGCTGAACTGTTAAATCCAGACAGAGGAAGTAGGGAATTTGTGGCTGGCGTGTGTTGCTCAACATGGCCAAACTTGGACAGATTTACATGGTAATTGTTACTTTTACTGCAGGCAAGCAGAGAACTCCCAGCGCCCCAGCTGCAGTACGCCCTTCCAGAGCAGCAGGGGACTGGCACAGAGCTGCACAGCCACAACAGGAACAAAGAAGGTCCACAGAAGAAGAAGAGTAACAGGCAGGACTGTGCTTACAGTGGCCCAGGTAGGAATGAGATCACATTTGTTCAGGACAAAAATGAGATGTTTCCACTTCTTCTCCTTTTTAAGGTAGGATTCCACATGAGGGGAGCGAGTGCCCATGGGATCTCGGGCATCAAGAACTTGAACAACAACATCTGATGAGTCAATCACCTGAAAAATAAAAAAACCCCACACAGATGTAATGGATTTTGCAGAAAGCAAGGTATCTGTACCTCCCAAATGAAAACTGGTCATATTTGAAACTGTATCATTAATTTAAAAACCTTGTATCCTTTACAAACTGCTAGTTCCCCACAGATAGTGAAGTTCAGACTAACATCCATGGATGCTCTACTCCCTCCTCTCCAAACTCAGCCTGGACAGCTCAATGACTTTTACCTGTTCTTATGCACCAGGGAAAGAAAACATTACCCCCAAATGGGAAAACTAAAGTGCTGCAGCACACAAACCCCAGTGTTCATCCTCCATTCAGCAACAACTCCCTTCTACCATTTCATAATGGATCAGGGTACAAAGGATGTTTTCTGGACCAATATGAAACACACAACCAAGCAGGAACCTGCTGTTAGTCCACGAAGCAACTACAGCAGGGAGCTGTCATTTTATGACTTGTTTCAAGCCAAGTGAATTTGTTTCACAGCTTTTTCCTGCAGTTTTGGCAGCCTCTTACTGAAATCTGTTTTGCTCAACCAATCTCAGTGCTTTTAGTTCCAAATGAAAAGGTTTTAAGCTACATTCAGAAATTCAGAGCTAAAAGTCAAGCAATTTCACACCTAAGAGTCACTGAGAGCACACACACTGCTCATACCACCCCGACTCACTCTGTCTCCATTTCTCTGGCAGCCATGGTGGCTCATGGAGAACTGAGGGTCAGAGCTCTCCCAAGATGACCCCATCAATATGCCAGATGTTTTCAGCCTAAAGAAACTTAAGGGAACATGACTCTTTTACTTGTGGTGAAATCCCAGGAATCCAAGAGAAACTTACACCTCCACTCTGCCAGTCCTCTTCTAGATTGTGTATTTTAACAATGTTTGTTCCTGTAGGACAAGAGCTCAAGAATCAAGCTCAGTCAGGCAGAGATTTAGAAATTAAGATCTACTCTTTTTGAGTTTTTGTCATTCTTGCTGTACAGGATCTCAATGCTGTGCTGAAGCCCCTCACTGTGTAAAGGCTGACAGATGACTGCTGCAAACTCCAAATGCCATTTACCTTGTAGAGCTCACCCCAGATTCTTTTGGACTGTCCTTTCTTAAAGATCTCCTCTTGTGCTTCATCCCTAGAAGACATCACCAGAAACATCAGCACCACAGATACAGGATCAGGATCTTTTTCTTTTCTCTTAAGCCATTCACAGACAAAAGAGGGGACAAAGCCCAAGTAACAGGTGGTATTTAGCCAAAATCCCACATTCAGCTAATCTCCTTTTCCTTCCTCCTCACACAGTAACAGCATTGATGGAGGTGCCAGATCCTTCTTTAAAAACAAGGCTGGCTTTTCATATGTGTATAGAAGGACTCATTTTCCTTTCCAGTCACCTTACACCAGTGTCCTCTGTCACCAGGTCTCGGTCCTTGCCCTGATCGTAAGACTCTGACGAGGCCTCAGCATTCTCCACCAGAGACTGCACATCACTTGCAGACAGAGTTGGTCTTTTCCTTTGTGATTTGGGGCCAAACGTTGTTTCAAATGTCTCTGTGTCAAGAATGTGAACTCTGGAGGTCTGAGGAAAAACAGGTTGGTTAAAAAAACAAACTCCAAGCACCATTTTTTCCCATCTCTCGTGACACACAGGAAGGAGCCCCAAGTTCAACACAGCCCTGGCAGCCTCTAACAAGTGACAGACACTTCCTTAACAATGTTTGAGTTTTCCAGCTCAAGCTTTGAGAAACACAAGAGTGGATACTTAATAAGCAACAAAACATTCTGCATTTGCCAACGACCCATGCTTCAGTTCTTCCACCATAAATGGTGTCAAATGCAATTACAAGCACTGTGATGAAAATTCAGCTGCTATCTTTGATCATTGCTTGTTTTTCTAACAAGAGCACAAATCTCGCCAAATTCTCAGATTTTTGTCAGCCATAATTACAATCAAAACTAGATTTTAAAGCTTGCAATGAAAGCCAGCTTGTCTTGGAACAGCAATCAATCCATGGCTGAAAGCAGCAATTTGTTTTTGCAATGCATGTTTTAACACAACCTTTTCCCTCATTTAAATAACATTCTTACAACATGAACTTACAAAGTTTCCATATGACAAAATAGCTACCAATAGCCCAAAATAATGGTTTAGACACTGTGAAAAAAAAGGCATTAACTAAAACGTGATGTACTAGAAATGAAGGCTGAATGAACAAGAATTCCTGAGACAGGATAAAACACATGTTGCACTTCAAATTCATCATGTGAGTGGCTGCAGGGTGCAGCAGCCTCAGGAAAGGCCCGGAATCTGTCAGAGGCATCAGAACATCAGCTGGAACATTAACCTATGAGAAATCAGATCATAATGTGACAGTATCATAACCTATCACAGGAGGCTTTGGGCTGGAAGGGACCCTAAAGCCCACCCAGTGCCACCCCTGCCATGGCAGGGACACCTTCCACTGTGCCAGGTGTTCCCAGCCTGGCCTTGAACACTTTCAGGGATCCAGGGGCAGCCACAGCTGCTCTGGGCACCCTGTGCCACGGCCTGCCCACCCCCACAGGGAAGAATTTTTTGGGAAATTTCCTATTGGAAAATGAGAAGTTTTATTAAATACTTTTTATTAAATAATCTTTGCCCCTACACTTGATGGTCACAGGGCATCAGAACCATCCTTCCCCAAGGAATCCACCAGAGCTGCCCCTTCCAGAGGGCAGTGTTTGCCAGGCTGAGCAGGGACAGCCCAGCTTCTGCCAGATGTGCACACAGCTGCACAGTGGTACCCACATGAGGTTTGATCCGGTCGTAGAACAGGGACATGGGCAGCTTCTTCTGCTTCATGATCACCCTGTAAGGATCCTTCATCACAGTCTCCATCTCCTCCTGGAATTTCTGTAGGGATGATTGCTTGATCACACGAGTGTTTCCTGAGGGTGAGAAACAAACATCACACCTGAACATTCCTGATCCCAACTGCTCCAACTGGGGAACTAATAAAACATGAACTTTCCATCTAGGAACAAAAACACCAGGAAACCCAAAGGGTTTTACTTGAGACCAAGCCCAAATAAGCAGCCAATCCCTTTCTTTCCCACCATTTATAGGAAATTTTAAAAATATCTCTAGGACATTTAACAGCCATACACATGGGCAAACTGTCTTGGTTTGAAAAGACAGGAGCCTGTGAAGGAAGGCAAAAGCCTCCTGTGAAATGGAGGTAAACCCCCTCCCTCCGAATTATCACAACTTCAGAATTAAAAGGGCTCTCAGGCAAAGATATGGGAACGGGAATAACAGGACACAAACCTTGGGGAACAAAACAGGAGCCAAAATATCCACCCTTAGGGGAGAGTGTGGAAAGCAAAGCCCCAAAGCACAGGTACAGGCAAGGGGAGACAATGATGCCTCAGGATTTTAGCTTTTGTATTTTTTATATATTTGTAATCCTGCAGTTCTTTAGTGTATAACTCCAAACTCCACACACAGTGGGAGCTGCTGCTTCAGGGATCCTTCACCTTCCCACACAGCTCTCAGACACCATTCTGAAACAAACACCTTGCAACACACCAAATTCAACAGTTTTGAAGCTTGCTGAGCCTGGAAGTTGGACAAAACTCACCAAACCACTTGATATTTGGTTCCACTCGTGCAACAGTGCCTGGTGCCACAGTTGACTGATACTGCAGAGGTTTGATCACTTTGCCACGTTTGTTCCTGAGGGACAAATGAAGCCATGTCAGTGCACAAAGGGCAGCACTGACCCTCAGGCCAGAAACAGAGGCACAAAATGCACAGGGGCCTTTGCCCTGCAGGGAGGCACAAAATGCAGAGGGGCCCTTGCCCTGCAGTGCTGGATGCTGCTGTGCACTCCACGGGGTGATTAACCCAGCCCTGAGTGCAGCCATGGCAGTCACAGCCCCTGCAGCCTGGCCAGACCCTCCCTGGCAGCCCAGAAGGGCTCCTGGGGCTGTTCTCTGACAAATCCCTCTGTGCTCTCTCACAAAGCCTTTTACCCAGCTCTGCAGGACTCACCCACACAGATCTGCAAGATGAGACCTGGTTTGAGCTCAGCAATATCTCAAAATCCCTCCTCCCTGTCTGCTCTGCAAAGAGTGGGAAATTTGGAAATTTAAATTTGGCAAAAGCAACCAAACAAGCTGATGTGAAACAGAGCTCTGAGAAGTGCCACAGGGGTGCTGCTGCCCTGCCAGGGGTGTCAGTGTGTGGCACAGAGGGGAACAGGGGCTGTGGAGATGCTCAGGGGAGCTGAGGCTCTGCAGGGGTTTGGGGGAGCTTTTGAGCTGTGCTGCTCTGGGAAATTCAGGAATTCTGCGTGGTTTGGGTCTCTCCAGGCAGATCCAGCAAGGGTTTCCCAGCTGCATCCCTGGTACACGCTGGGCTGCTGAGAGCTCGGGGTCAGGATCAGGATCGGGAATGGGATCAGGCTTGGGATCAGGATCAGGCCTGGGATCAGGATCAGGGGCAGGCCTGGGATCAGGATCAGGATCAGGATCAGGCTCAGGGTCAGGCCTGAGATCAGGATCAGGGTCAGGATGAGGCTCAGGCCTGGAATCAGGCTCAGGCTTTGGATCAGGATTAGGCTCAGGGTCAGGCCTGAGATCAGGATCAGGCTCAGGCTCAGGCTCAGGCCTGGGCTCAGGATCAGGCTCAGTCTCAAGCCTGGGATCAGGCTCCCCAGCTCACAGGGTTACAGAGCCCACCACAGAGCAACTTACAGAATTTCCATTAACAAAACAGCTACCAGTAGCCCAAATTAGTGTTTTAGACACCGTGAAAAAAATGGCATTAACTAAAACGTGATGTACTAGAAATGAAGGCTGAATGAACATGCGCTCCCCTGTCACTGCGCTCCGTGTCCCTGCCCGTCTCCCCATGGCGGTGCCGCCCGGAGCGCCGCGATCTGGCCGGGCCCGGCCCGGGGTGCTTGGAGGGCCCGGCGGGCCCGCGGGCACGGGAGCCCCCATTGTTCGGGACGTGCTGTTCGTGCAGTGACACATCATGGGGATCGTTCGGGACAGCGGCGGCAGCGCTCCCTGCTCGCCGATGGATGGGGGTGGCTGGCGGGACACTGGGACAGCCAGAGGGGCACTGGGGCTGCTGGTGGGACACTGGGTGGCAAATGGGACACTGGAGCACTTAGAGGGACACTGGGACTGTCACAGGGACATATCGACAGCCAAAGGGACACAGGGACAGTCAGAGGGACACTGGGACTGTTTGTGGGACACTGGAGCACTCAGAGGGACACGTGGACAGCCAAAGGGACACTAGGACTGTTTGTGGGACACAGGGACAGCCAGAGGGACACTGGGGCTGCTTGTGGGACACTGGGACTGTTTGTGGGACACTGGAGCACTCAGAGGGACACGTGGACAGCCAAAGGGACACTAGGACTGTTTGTGGGACACAGGGACAGCCAGAGGGACACTGGGCCAGCCAGAGGGGCACTGGGGCAGTCACAGGGACACTGGGACAGCCAAAGATCACTGGGACAGTCAGAGGGACACTGAGGTAGTCAGAGGGGCTCTGGGACAGCCAGAGTGACACAGAAGCACTCAGAGGGACACTGGGGCAGTCAGAGGGACACAGGGACAGCCAAAGGGACACTGGGGCTGCTCGTGGGACACTGGGACTGTTTATGGGACACTGGGACAGCCAAAGATCACTGGGACAGTCAGAGGGACACATGAACAGCCAAAGGGACACATGGACAGCCAGAGGGACACTGGGGCAGTCACGGGGACACTGGGACAGCCAAAGATTACTGGGACAGTCACAGGGACAGCCAAAGGGACACTGGAACAGCCAAAGATCACTGAGGCAGCCAGAGGGGCACTGGGACAGCCAGAGGGGCACTGGGACAGTCACAGGGACAGCCAAAGGGACACTGGGACAGCCAAAGATCACTGAGGCAGTCAGAGGGACACTGGGACAGCCAGAGGGACACGCTGCAGCAGACACTCGAGCACAAGGCAGGGCTGGCGGGTGTTTACAGGCACACGGGGCTGTTCTTTCTGGGTTACTGGCAAGGAATTTTAAACATTCGCAATAACAGCACTGCGTGTTTCTGTGTGAGGGTAAAGAGTTGTGCAGATGGTGGTTAACAGATCAAATCCGTGCAAGGCCTGTGTCCAAAGCCCACGTTCCTGTTGCTGCCAGACTGGAACAGCAGTTTGAATGCTCCTCACCTAGGGGAAATGAGCACACTGGGACAGCCAGAGGGGCACTGGGACAGCCAGAGGGACACGCTGCAGCAGACACTCGAGCACAAGGCAGGGCTGGCGGGTGTTTACAGGCACACGGGGCTGTTCTTTCTGGGTTACTGGCAAGGAATTTTAAACGTTCGCAATAACAGCGCTGCGTGTTTCTGTGTGAGGGTGAAGAGTTGTGCAGATGGGGGTTAACAGATCAAATCCGTGCAAGGCCTGTGTCCAAAGCCCACGTTCCTGTTGCTGCCAGACTGGAACAGCAGTTTGAATGCTCCTCACCTAGGGGAAATGAGCAAAGCTGAACTCAAACAGTGCTAATTGATAGCAGAGCTTGGGCCAGGGCCAAGCTCAGCACCTTGGGGAATACTTGCCCAAAACACAGCTCTGGCCCATCCTTCCCAAACACTTATGAGCAGCAGAGCAATGTCCTTCTGGTGCTGCTAATGCTCCTTTAAACCCAGAACAATAACAGAGCTGCTGGGATTTTGTTCTTCTAATGATTTTCAGCGTTTTGCTGTGAGGTGTAGAGTCCCTGCTGTACAAGGGAGCCACGATGAGTCAGGCCTTGGGACATGTTTTGTAAGACCAAGTCTGGAGTTGGAGGCTGTTTGGCTTAAGCCTACACGTTCTGGTTTTTCTCTTAATAGAATTATCTGTGCCTTGGGCATTGAAAAAGTGCACATTGATGTGGCTATAAAAAATCAATTCCAAATTGTAGATAATTGTTTAAGCTATCAGACTCGAGGCTCAAGCAGAAGAGTTTTCCCGGGACAAGTGTGTTTTCCATTAGGGTCGATATCAATCTGTCAGAAGAGCCTTTTGATTTTCAAAATTTTAGACTAAATAGTTGAGTAATACTTTTGCTCTGCTGTCCCCAACTCTTTCTTCCTTTCCCTTAAGAAAACTCCCTCTTTATTGTTAGCAAGAGATCTTGGGGAGCAGCCAGAAAGTCGCTGTCTCTTTCTGTGAGGGAGCAGACCCAGCCAGCCCTGGGCAGGAGGCTGTGGCAGGGAGAGCTTGTCTTGGGGATGCCCCAGAGTTGGGTGCTGAATTCCCAGGTTGGCAGCGTTGGCGGGAGGGCTCAGACCCTTTACGAGCCTTTGGGGTGGGCTACGAGCCTGGATTTTGTGTCATAAGGAAAGATCCTACTGATAACGTGTGGGACCTGCTTTCAAACTGGCACCTCTCACAAATCCCCTGGCCCAAATTCCAGCAGTTGAACTTGCAGCATCCCTGAGGCTGCAGCTGATTATTGTGTATCTGATAACGTGCAAGTCAGATATTTTGGTCCACTAAAGTGATGTTTTGTTGCTCCATGACTCACAGATTTTCCTTTGCTGTTGATACATCCTCCCATTTCAATCTTTAGCTTTTTCTCATTCTGTCCTGGCCACAGCCAGCCTGGACAACAGGGTCACAGATTGTTGTCCATCGCCTCTGCTACGTGGCCTCAGCTCCACTGCCTGACCAGAGCTGAAATGAAATAATTTTGAGTTTTATGTGGCCTCATCTTTGTCAAATCCCAGTGAATGTGGTTACATGATGCCATCGGAATGACTCATTCCCATAATTACATATGTTCTGAGGGTTATTCCCATTGTATTATTAAAAACTAGTGATGTTGGATTTTTGGCAGGCACCGTCTTCCTCGTATGATCTACAGATTTTGTCAATTAAATGAAGGAAAAGTAGATTTCCAAGAGTTCAGAACAAGACCAGACTTGCACTCAGAGCCTTTTCTCAGTGTGGCACTGAGCTCCTCTGTTTCATTTAACAGGATAAAGCAGCCTCAGCCATCTCCCTCTATTGCAGCAGTTCCCTGCAGAGCACAAGTGGATTTTGTAGCTCATCTTCAAAATCACGGGAGAAGATCTTGTAGGCAGTTTGTCACCACAGCTCAGTTCCTCAGGCATGGCTTCCCAGGGACTCAGGAGCAGGAGCGAGGGAGGGCTCCTTGGCAAAAGGTTCCAGGTGTGACAGGAAAGACAAAGTGATCCTGAATTGTTGCTTTGAATATGGAGTTCCCAAAATGGTGACTGAAACAACAGGGGAACTCGGGAGGGAGGAGAAAACTGAAGCCAAGGAAAAAGGCAGAAAGGTGTAAGAGGGCTTTGAGAGCCCAGGCTGAGCTGTGGCAGCAGGGTCCAGCCCCGAGAGCCTGTGGGGGCTCAGAGCTGGGCTGAGGAGCCCTGGGCTGGGCTGAGGAGCCCTGGGCTTCACCCTGGGAACATCTGCCAGCTCTGCAGATCCAGCAGGCACCAGTGCTCTGGGAGATAAAGCAGTTAAAGAGGAATGTTTCCCCCTGGTTTGATTTGTCAGTCAGGAAAAGTAACTTCTGCTCTTTGGGCTGGGCTCCTCTGTGGCCCTGTCGGTGCCTCTAAACCAGCATTTTACCTCAGGCTGGAAATTACAATGTACCACCTACCTGGCTGCCTCTCTTTTCCTGTTCTTCAAAAATCCTGGAAATTCCAGCAAGCAGCTCCATCCAAACTCTGGTTTGGCATTCAGTTGGTGTGATGTATTACCGTGTACATAAATGTCACCAGGGTGATTTATTGATGGTGACTAATTAAATACACTGGTATTTCTGTACTTTTAATATAGATTTTTTAAATGTGATGCCTATCATGTCTCTTTGTGAAGTCTATTGACTTCATAAAATTTGTAAATATATATCAGAATTATACTTTTTAGTGTTCTCAGACAATGTAATCCAAACAATAATTTTGGAGATAACCTCTTTCTCACTATCCTACTTTGTTTCCTTTAATCAAAGCTAAGATTTCTCCTGAGTGAGAAATCATTTAAACATAAACATGGGCTAAGGAGTATATACATTACCTCCACCTCTCTGGGGGTGGAAAGTCAGTGAATTACTGTGTGAGGAGTGTGTGTGCACACAGTTCATTGACTGTAGATGATGAAAAATACAGATTTATATTACCCAGAGGGGGTTAAGAATGTGATAGAAGCAATGTGTGCTTGGTGACATTCATCTTCTTTAGGTTCCAAATCTCAGCAAATAAGAGAGAAATGAAACAGTTCCAAACCCACGACTGCAAGCTGTCCATTATTGCTGTCCCTTTGTTCCCCCATGACATGGGATGTATTGCTCAAAATCTGAGGAAACAGTCTAGAAACCATCCTGCAGATTCTGACTTAATGGAATTCTGTCCAGCAAATAACACCAGGTTGTTCAGCAGGGAAAACAAAGCTGTTTCCTCTGCAGTAGAGTTCCTGACAAAGCATCTGTCTGTCTGTCTGTCTGTGCATCCAGCAGCTGCTCCTCCAGTCCAGCACCGAGCTGATCAAAGCACAGGCTGGGAGTAGGTGCAGGAGTTGGAGCAGTGACATTCCAGCCATGATCCACGTGGTTCTTTGGCTCTCCATGTGGGCAGAAAGCTCTCAGGAGAGGCTCGCTGTGTCTGCGGAGATTTTTGATCAGTTGGGTTTGACTCCAGTTTTAGTGAATAAACAAATGAAGCTAGTTCAGCAAACCCATTTATTGATTTATTTGTTTAAAGACATGTATTTTACAGTGATGCCATGGAGACAACACCACAACAGGGTAACTTAGTGCATGGAAAGAGAGCATTCACATGTGTGTGAGTTGAGGTGACATCACCCAGCTAAGGACATCTCAGCTTGGACTGGGGAGCTCAGTGTGCAGTTCACTTTGGTCAAAGGCAAAATGTTCCCAAATTCATAACTGAACCAGCTCTCTGGGAGTGGGAATAAGCACAGTTCTTGAGCTGACTCAAAAAAAAAAAAGAAAATAAATTGGATTTATTTGTTACATTTTTTCTCCTAATTGTTCTAAAACAATTTAATTTTAAAATCACCCCTACTGAAAAATCTTGGATATCTTTAATACGCATCTTAAACTTCCTGTTGCCTTTGTCCCTTTTTCTTCCCATTTTGCTCTGAAAAAGGGAAGAAAGTAGGGGAAAGGCTACAACAGAAAGAAGTTTGTCAGATTTTCTAATAATCCCTAGAGTTCTCTAAAATAGGTTCTGTTGATTTATTACATGCAGTTTAGTTTTGAAATAGTTGTGCTAATAGTGCCAGGAGTTACTGTAGGGAATCAAGTCATTACCAGAGCCTCATGTAGAAAACTTTCCTAATGCATTCTCTTTTCCTTAATCCTCGCTGAGAGCTCGGTGGGGCTGTGGCTCCAGGAGGGAGGCACAGCGAGCCAGGGAGCTGAGCTTCACCAGGGGGTCACTGGTGGGTGCTGGTAGAAGTGGAAGGGAAAATGGTTCTGCTTGTGAGCAAAATACTTCTCTCACAGGCTAGGAAATACAGCGAGGCTGGATCATTCAGAGGGGAAGCTTTCAGAAATCATGTGAACATGATCCATAAACAAATTCAAGGATGACTTTAAAGAAACTCTTTCTCCCCCTGTTTGGTATGCTGGTCGTTTATCATTGTGCTGAAATGGAATCCCCTTTCAAAGATGTAACAGCTTCTTGTTTACTTAAACACAAAGTGGACGATAGGCTGAAAGGTTTTTCTGCCAGCAGAGCAGCCACGGAGAGCTTGGTACAGCTCCGGAGCCCAAACAACTGTGCAGCCTCCACATCCTGCCCCGAGCCAGCCCTGGGGAGGCTGGGTGAAGGGAGCTGGGGTGTCCTGTGCCAGAGCTGAGTCCTCAGTGGTCACCTCGAGCCACAGGAGAGAAGCAGGGCTGTGGGTGTGGGCAGTGACCCTCGGAGGGACAGGGAGCTCTCTCCTGCACACCTGTTGGCTCACTGCCCTCGAACCACAGAGCAGAGCGTGGTAAGGAAGCGAGTACAGCCAAGATTGGATTCACCAGGTTAGGCTGGGGTGAGGCTTCCCCTGCCCTTTGCCCTGCCAGGGGAGTTGGAGCTCCAGCAGCACGTCCCTGATCCACCCTGTGAGCCATAGCACCATCCCTCGGGAGCAGAGAGCTTCTGCTGAACTCTCGAGAAATGAGACGTGTCTCTTTGCATTTATACAGAGAAATCACATTGTAAAACCCCAGGGCAGGGAGGGGGAGCTGCCCTGTGACCCTGCCCTGAGCAGAGCAGGCAGCAAACCCACACAGGGCTTGCCAGGTCTGGCTGGCACAGTCCTTGTCCCAGTTCCTCTGCTCAGGCATCACCTCTCACAGAGCAGGAGAATCCAGGGAATTCCAGCCAGTGGCACGCAGACAGGTATTTTCTACCCAATTCAAAAATGTGTTTCTCTTCTGCAGGACCTGAGCTGTGCCTTCCCCTCCCGCCTGCCTCCCTCCTGCCACACCCGGGGTGGTGGCCGGCCCCAGCTGTCCCCAGCCCGGGATTGTCCCGCAGCTGGGACTGGCCCAGCGGAGTCACAACGTTTCAGGCACCTGTAGTTTGTTGTAACCTCTCATTTTCTCAATCTGCTGTGTGTTAAGTGGATCCTTCAGTGGGGAGTTCAGCGGGGTGCAGCTGGGGTCCCTCTCGCAGGACGGCTGATTTGTGGCTGCGCTGCAGCTGGCAGCATTTCCTGGCATTTTCTTAAAGCTTTGGTGAGTTTCCCTTCCACAAGTGAGTCTCTGTCCTGTGGGACACCAGCCTCCATAGGGGCCAAGGTATGAACCACACACTCAGGAAGCTGGTTGTCATTTTGATTTTGGGTTTTTTTTTTAATTTGAAATAATTCTTTGAAGCAGATTCAGGGCAGATGCCACTGACCTCTTATCACAAACAAGTATTCGCAATGATAAAGTCATACACCTTAAAACACAAAATAAGGGGTGAGGGAAGAGAAAGAGGCCCCTGCTCTGTGTCTGGGCCCCAGGTCAGGGAGAGTGGCCATGTGGGTTCAGTCTCATCCCCTGGCTGAGTGGGGCTGTGCTGGGGCTATGTGCTTGGGCTCCATTTGAGGCCTTTGATCATGAAATCAATCCCATGGGGGTCTGGGTCCTTCACTGGCTTATGCTCCACCTCTGCTCCCTGCAGTGTCCCCACAGAGCCCTGGGGACACTGTGGCTTTGCCTCCGTGTGCGCTCCCCCTCCTCAGCAGCGTTCCTCCACAGTCCTGGGCAGGGGGTGTGTGCAGCCTCCTTCGGCATGTGTGTGCGGCCTCTGTCAGTCCGTGGGTCAGTCTGGAGTATATGTCTGTCTCTGGACACGTGTACATGGTGTAGCAGTGCTCTGTTCAATAAAGCTTTCATATACATAGCAGCAATGTTGCCTTGCCATCCGGTGACGCGCTGGCCGGCTACTGGGCAGGGCTAGCGGGCGTCGCGGGCACCGTGGCCCCTCTCTGTCTGTTCTTCCTCTTCTTGGTGCCAGACTTAGTGTCTTTGGTGTCTTTCCGATTTCTATTCCCATTGTCTTGCTTTCCTTGCTCCTCCTTTTTCTTCCTTTTCCCTGCAGTAAAGCAAAGGGGCACTGTGAGGTGGAGCGAGGCATCGGGGAACAGATTGGCCCTGTCTCCTTCACCCTGCCCCCCTGGTTAATTCCTGGGCATTTAGTCACTGCTCAGAGCCCTTTCCCCTCAGAACATTCAACACAGCTGCAATCCTTGTCCATTCTGTAGCAAGATAACCAAACCACCATTCATCCTGAAGACTCTAATTCCTGGGAAAACCAGAGCAATTCTGGTAGAGATCTCCCATCACAGCAGCACAAAGGCATGCATCCTTGGCTGCTCTCTGGCCAGGGAACAAACTAAAATGAGGGGTTTTTGGCATGGGTTGGACTCGGTGATCTTGAAAGTCTCTTCCAGCCTTGCCATTCTGTGAATTCTGTAAAATAGCTGAAACCTGTGGCACAGAACAAGCTGTGCCAAGGATCACCACCCTGGGGGCCGTGCCCCTTCCACCTGCAGCTCTCCCAGGTCCATCACATCCTCATCCCCTGCACTCCAGAGGAGTCAGGAGCTGCACAGCACATTTGTGGCACTGGACAATTGGCTGACTGCTTGTGCCTGAGCTCTGAGGGGTGTGGGGAGGGATGGGGAGCCCCCAGCTCTGCTCACCTTCGGGGCACTGGTTCTTCTGCACCGTGCAGCGCCGCACCTCCGTGGTTGCAGGGCACAGAGACACGTCCCCAGAGGGAGCCTGCAGAATCCGCCGTGTTCGGTCTTCATTGCCCTTCTTGAAGCCACAGAGCTTCCTTTTCTTGGAGCAGGGCCCCCACGGCCCCCACTCGCTCATTTCACATTGTGCTGCCAGATAACAAGAGAGCCCAGCTGTAACTCCCCTCCTGCCTTGCCAGCCCAGGCCATCCCAGAGCCCACCACTGCATCTCTCCCCCCTTAGGCTGCAAGGGAGTCTGTGTTTCCCCAGCAGGTTCCTAAGTCCCTGAGCACCCCTTCCTTGCCACACCAGCTCTGGGTCACAGCTCACAACACCAGAGGCTGCTCCCCATCCAGGCTGGTTCCCAGAGGGCTCTGCCCCACGAAGGGCTCGGCATGGGGGACCATAAGGGGTTTGGATCATCATCTAAAGCCCCCTGCAGCAGTACCCACGGGCAGACATCAGTGCAGGGCTGCTTACCAGGACTGCTGCACTCCATGGTGCCGTTGGCAGCAGCGTAGCCTTCGGGGCATGTGACATAACATCTCCCTTTGTGCAAATACAAACCTTCCTTACATTTTGTGCAAAAGTTTCGACTGAAACAGGACTCACAGTTCTCAATTTTGCATTCTGGGGAAAAAAAAAAAAAAAAGCAAAAAAATCACCAAAGCCATCACGTAATCTGATGTGAACAGAAGACTCAAGGAGCTCCACACTGCCAGCCCAGGGGTCTTGCAGCAGCCAGGCCTGGCTGTGCCACTCAGAAGTGACTTTTCTTTCCCTGTGCAGGACAGCCCTGTGCTGCAGCTCTCACAGCCAGCCAGCAGCAGCCACTGCCAGGCCAGAATCAGGCAGGGTGGGAAGGTTTTGGGCTGGGGCTTTCAGCAGCCTCAGTCAGCCAAGGGGACGGTGCAAAGGACACAGCCCTGGCTCCAGCTGCAGCTGCAGGACAGGCTGCATGGAAAGGGAGCTAGATGGAAAGCTGGCTGTGAGGGTGCTGTGCATGGAGCTGCCAGGGGAGTGATCCCATGTTTCCATGTCCAGCTCTTTCTGGTGCTCTGGCTACAAGATGCAAGTCAAGGATTTCACTCAGAGCCGCCTGAGTCTGGCGAGCAGCAGAGCAGGAAAGGAGGCACTAAGTGCCTGAAAGGATCTCCCTCCTCCCAAAAGCTGCCAATCTGGCAACCCATGTAACAAAACTGCCCAGAGGTCCTGCAAGATCCCACACCCACAGCATGCCCGTGCAGTGCTGGGCAGGGCTCTTCTCAGGCTGCCGTGCTCAGCCCTGCCTCACCCTTGCTGACAGCCACAGCAGCTCCTGCACCTGAGCAGAGGCTGCCCTGCAGAGCCCTGCTGCAGCAGGCACAGGGCTGCACTGCCTCCCTGGTGGTCAGCAGCCTAAGATAGGAAATGCCAGGTCATGATGGCTGGACCTTAGAAGCCTCTCTCTTCCACCTTTGGACACTTACTTCTCTCTCTTAAGACTATAAGTCACTTTCCCTTGACCCTTACTATTGGACAATTCCTAAAACCCCTGTTCCCTGTATAAAGAGCTACTTTTGCCCAGTTTGTCAGAAGAGCTGTCCCTGGGAATCTTTGCAGAAGATCCCAATAAAGACACCTCTGTGGAACCTCACACAGCCTTCTCCTCTCTCTCCCTGCGTCTGCCCACAGCACTTAATAAAATCACTCAATGAGCTGATAATCACTAAAAGAGCTGAAATCTCCTAAGAGCTGAGCTTGCTAAGGTGGCTGGGAGCTGCCTGGGAGCTCGGGCAGGCTGTGCTGAGCAGGACTGAGCTATCTATACCATTGCAGCCCACCAGGGACACCCCAAAGCCTGGCAGAGGCCACGTTACCCTGCCCCTGGCCCTGCCCAGCCCTTCCCCCCAGCCCCACACTCACTGATGCACTTGTTCATGTCCGTGTTGCGAAGGCCGAAGTACCCCAGAGGACAAGAGGGCAGGCAGATCCCAATCTGGCGGATGTCGTTGCGCTCCAGGAGGATGAAGAGTTTGGGGGAGCACCTCAGGCACCCGTTGAACTCAGAGCACAGGTCACAGCCTCTGGCACAGCCCTGACTCAGCTCGGTGCTGACTGCAGGAGCAGGAGGGAGGCAGTGGTTAGTGCTGGGCTCTGCAGGCACCAGCTGTGACCCCAAACCGCTGGCACCACTGGCAGGAGGGCAGGAACTGGGGCACAGCAAGGCTCCTGCAGCACTGGCACGCTGCAGCACTGCTCTGGATGGCCACAGGAGCCAGAGCTGTGCCAAGAATGGGCACGAGGTCACAACGGTGGCTGTGCTGAGCAGCAGGACCCCAAAGCAGCCACCAGCTGTGCCCAGCACTGCCCATCCCAGCCTGCTGCCTGCCAGCCCTGGTGCCCGTGTGGGGCAGACACTAACATGGGCATGCCCAAGGGGTCCAGCACCTCCTGCTGCCTCCCCTGCAGTGCCTCCATGCCGAGGAGCAGAGTGCATGGCCCTGGAGCAAAACTGTTCCATTAATTCTGTCCGTGCTGCGTCCCAGGCTGGATCTCGCTCTGACCCTTAAATTCTCTCTGGCAGTCAGGAGGTGTCACTGCCCCCAAAATAGAGATGTGTTCTCAGCTCCTACATTCAGTCCAAGAAAAATACTCAATCCCATGTCTTGAGAGTTTTCTGCTTTTAATTATCATATAAAATGCTGCTTGTTTTGAAACCAATCGCATTCTTTGCAGACTAGAATGCAGGTTATTTTTATTAGTTTATTATGCAAGCCATGTCCTTGTTTATAGAAAAGCTGTGTATTTAAAAGATGTATTCTTTTAAATACCATGTTTACTACACTTCAAAAGCAAGCACAGAGCAGCACAGCGTTCAAGTGTCAGGACTAAAGGTGAGAGAGCTGCTCTGTTCCCCTGCCATGACCCAAGAGCTGCTCTGATCCCCCACCATGACCCAAGAACCTGGCATCCCCCACTGCCTGCCCCAGCCCCATTGCCAGGCCTGTCTTCAGTGTTTTCCCAGGCTTCAGCCTTGTGAAAAGACACTGAAGGCAGGGGGGTCCTCAGCCCCCAGCTGCCAGGAGGGTCCCCTGGTCTGGATTGAGACCCCCCTGGCACTGTGGACCTTGGCCCCTCTCCACAGAGACCCTCAGGGATGCAGCCCCATCCCTCCTGCAGAGCTGGGCCCTGGTGCCAAGCTCAGCATCCATGGCAAAGGTATAAACTGGGCTCTCACTGGAAATTGCTCTTTATAGCATTAGCCATGACGTCAGGTTTTCCTTGTTCTCCCAGGGCTCAGCAGTCCCAGTTTTAATATAAAATCAATTTTCTATAATTTAATTTAAACCAGTTTTAATGTAAAACAGCTCTAACATGAGCTTACATAAAGGAGGGCAAACGCCTGTGGCTGCTCTTGTGCCAATTCTGCCTGGCTGCCCTGCACGAGCCCCTCCAGGGACCCTCTGGGCTGGAGGCAGAACTGACCCCCCTGTGACCTCAGGGAACAGCTCAGGGCACATGGGGAGTGGACTGGGGGGTCTCTGCAGGCTCTTGGGGCACCACAGCCCTGCCCAGCTCCCTGTGCTGCATTCACACCAGCACGACCTTCACAGCACCATGAGAGGAAGTAGAGAAGAAAAGCATTTCATACATACTTCGTCTTTGCCTCTTGCCCTTCACCACTTTGCTGCTGCCTGTTAGATCCATCGAGCTCAGAAAAACCACCACCACAAGCAGTCCAAGCTGCATAGTAACTCTCCAGCGCTGCAGCCCCTCCGTCGTGGGGTGGCTGGGGGAGCGTGCTCCGCAGCTGGGCTCTCTGCTGCCGCTAAATCCTCCCGGGTGGGATCAGAGCTGAGAGTCTGTGCACGGAGCCGGGGCTGCCACCATATCCACGAACGACAGCAGCACCAGGCAGCTTAGGTAGCAGGGAACATGGCTCTACCTTCATCCCTGTCAGGAGTGCAGGAGCTCGGCCCTAGTCCCGTCGGGGGCTCGGCACTGCGTTAGCTGCTCGCACAGGGACGCTGGCAGGAACTGCAAAAGAAGAGGAGAACGGGTTAACCTGACAGGCAGCATCACTCCCACAATAGCTGGGGGTGAGCAGGGGGCTGTGGGGTGCACTGGGGGTGCTGGCAGATAGTGGCACCTGGAGTGGTGTGGGGAGAACTGTGCTCCAACCTCATCCATGAGTCCCTGTTGCTAGCAACCAGCATCCATCTGAATACTCAGTGCATCTTTGCCATCTGCAAACAGTAGTTAGAGCTGGAACTTGTTTAAAATAGAGCCAGACCCCTGGGCTGCCCTCCCCAAGAGGCAGATGGCTGCTGCGGGTGCCAGGCACACAAGATGTTTCCCATCAAGTGGGCACCTCTGGGGCTGGTAGTGAAGCCTAGCAGGGAGCCAGCCTGCAGTCCCCAGCCGGGGCTGGGGCTGTCTGGGGACGGGGTGGGATCCTCTGCGAGCTGCCCAGAACGCTGCCTTTCTGCTCTGAGGGAATTTCCAAACCTCCCGTCTCCTGTTCCCCGAAGCACAGGGCAGGGTCAGCGCTGCCTGCACAGGGAGCTGCTCTGCCCCGGGCTCACCGGCAGAGACAGCCTGGCGTGGGGCAGAGAGCCTGGTGTGGGGCAGAGAGTCTGGCGTGGGGCAGAGAGCCTGGCACGCGGCAGAGAGTCTGGCGTGGGGCAGAGAGCCCAATGTGGGGCAGCAAGCCTGGCGTGGGGCAGAGAGCCTGGTGTGGGGCAGAGAGTCCAACATGGGGCAGAAAGCCTGGCACGGGGCAGAGAGCCTGGCATGGGGCAGAGAGCCTGGTGTGGGGCAGAGAACCCAACATGGGGCAGCAAGCCTGGCATGGGGCAGAGAGCCTGGTGTGGGGCAGAGAGCCTGGTGTGGGGCAGTGAGTCTGGCATGGGGCAGCAAGCCTGGCATAGGGGAGAGAGCCTTGTGTGGGGGAGAGAGTCCAACATGGGGCAGAAAGCCTGGCATGGGGCAGAGAGCCTGGTGTGGGGCAGTAAGTCTGGCATGGGGCAGCAAGCCTGGCACAGGGCAGAGAGCCTGGCATGGGGGAGAGAGCTTGGTGTGGGGCAACGAGCCTGGCATGGGGCAATGAGCCTGGTATGGGGCAGTGAACGTGGCATGGAATAGAGAACCTAACATGGGACAGAGAACCCAGTGTGGGGCAGAGACAGCCCAGCTGCGAGTGCCACGCTGCCCTCACCAAGCCATGGCACAGAGTGGCCCAACGTGCACGGCAGGACGGAGTGATGAGATGGCAACACCAGCAGGCCAGGCTGGCAGCAAACCAATGGCTCTGCATGAAATTGGGGAGAGAGAAGGGAAGCCCAGCTGCCCGCCAGCCAGCAGCCAGCACTCCACATGTGCCATCCTTCCCTGAGAGAGCCCAAACCCTTGCTCAGCTGGCTCCTGACAGGGCATTTCCCTGTGGTTTTCAAATGGTTAGTTTTCAAGTGGTTGATGTGAAGGGCAAGCTCCATGCTGCACCAAGAGATCTGGCACTGCCAAGCCGGGCCCCACTCCTCTGTGCAGCTGGCAGAGCAAAGCCCTGCCAACGGCAGACATTGTGCCGGAATAAAGGCGACAACATTTGCTCTGTGAAGTCAAACGAAACAGAAAATTGTTTTAATCCCTTTATAATAACTGCGCAATCACCGATGCCCCAAACAACTGCTGGCGACAGTGCTGGAAGAGAGCCCAGCCTCTGCCTGGGATGGACTTGGTCCCCGGGGGCTGCTCCCCTCCCTGGCCCACCCTGCCTGGGGGACCTGCTGGAGGGCCACTGGCCCAGCAGCCCCCTGCTCCAGCCCACCTAAGGGGGCTATGGCCCCACAGCAGAGCGCCTGGAGGGAGGGGGCTGCTGTGAGCTGGGTGCCGCTGAGCTTTGTGGCAGCACGTGGCACAGACACTCCTGGCAGGCCTGGCTCACCTGGGCCACGGCCACTGTCCCCCTGCCCTGGTGGCTCTGAACTTTTCACCGCGTCCCCGCTGCGGCTGCCGGGGCAGGAGCCCAGCGCTCGCCATGTGCTTGTCGTTACAGCCCACGGCTGGTCCGCAGGATTTTCAAATAAATAATTAGTCACTTGTGTAAACACCAACTTGTTCTGCACTTCCAAGCCTGTTTGCTGCGAGCTGCTTTATAAACACTGTCAAGTGCTTAAGCCGGGCTGGTGGGAGCATTGACGGGGCTGAGCACAGGGGGATCCCCGCAGCTCCTCTGCGCTTTGCAGGGACCTGGGGGGCAGCAGGGACCCTCGGGACAGGTGGTGTGGGACAGTCCACATGCCCAGCAGGGCCACAGCAGCCTGGGGATGGCATCAGTGCAGCTCCAGAGGGACCGTGGTGCTGCGGCCGCCGCCGGTGTTTAATTAGGGCGGCTTTGCGGTGCAGGCGCCCGCAGGAAGCACACGCCGTGTTTACACAACACTCACAGCTTGGGCACGGTCCCCCGGCGTGGGGACAGCAGCAGGGATGGATGTCCTGAGGGAGCAAACACAGCCCTGGTGTGCCAAGAGCCAGCGTGACGCTCGTGCCACCACCACAGACCCATTTCTAATGGGGCAGGGAGGTGCCATGGGAAACCTTGGGACTGCAGCACAAACCAAGCGAGCACATGCTTCTCCCTCCTTGATTCCTCACTTTCTAGCCCAAAGAGAGCCTGGGCTTGGCCACAGCTGCTGCCTCAGCACAGAAAGGCCACTGGCACTCTAGGTGCTGTCTGGGCAGGTCACACATGATCCACAGGTCTCCAAATGCCCCCTTGAGCACCTGGGGGTCTGTGGTGAGCTGGACTGTCTGGCTGGACTGCCTTCCCCACCCTCACTGCAGGACACGAGTTATGATTCTTTCTCTTACTGCAGCCATCAGTCAAGCTCAGGTTGCTGCAAACAATTTCCAGTCTAAACATTCGCAGGATTTATGCCATTATCCAATCTACAGGAAGAATTTGGGGTAACCTGAATTGTTCTGAATTCATTTATGGAGAGACCTGGCCCCTGAATCTGAGATGGCACTAAGCCTTGTTTGCAATTCAATCAGGATAAATTGGTCCTTGGGAGCTCAAATACAAACCAGAAAATGTAAACCATCCAGATAATTTGCCATTAGTCCTCCTACACACAAGGTGAGAAAGACCAACATTATATCCCCAGGATATTTGAGACCTAATCCACAATAACTAAATTGCTGATATATTGCCTCTTGCTGAATGTACCAAGGATCCCAAATGTAAACAGGCTCTCCAAAGGTTTACTGAGCCTTGGAGAGAAGGACCAGATGCTGGAGGCAGGACAGACCTGGCTACAGCAGCAGCAGGAATGAACCCCTGGGAACTGCCAGGTCGCTGCCAACAGCCCAGCTGTGAGCTGGGGAATTTGGGTTTCCAGGCCCTGGATAGAGAAATTGAATTTCCTCTGTGTGAATATGCACAAAGTGGCTTCCTGCAGGAGGAGTCATGGTTTGCAGGGTTTGCTTGGTCCCAGCCCCACACCAGGGGACAACACCCAGGACACACCACCCTGAGACCTCCCAGCCCCAGGACACACCAACCTGAGGGCTCCCAGGACCAGGACACACCACCCTGAGGGCTCCCAGCCCCAGGACACACCACCCCAAAGCCTCTCAGCCCCAGGGCAGAGTCCAGCTCTGTAAATTTGTGGGTGGCAGCAGCAGCTCCACGCTGCTCACTCCCCATCCTGCCTTTGTGGAGCTTTCAACAGCCCCCTCAAACCCCAGAGATGGCAGCTGCTCATCCCCTGTCCCTGTTCCACAGCGCCCAGGGATGTGCCCATGCTGCTGGTGCTCCCTGAGCCCGCTGGCTGCCCTGCCCGTGCCCTGTTCCCTGTGCTGGTCACCCCATGGCAGAGCTCCCTGCCTGCCCTGCCTAGGAGGGAAGGGCTGGGGGAGCAGGTTTGGGCCCTCATTCTCTTTGGGAAGTCCCTCTGTGCTGCTGTGCTCCCAAGGCTGATGCTCCAGGAGCAGCACTGGGAAACCCTCTGCAGTGGAAGGTCCCACCAGGCTTGGCTGGGCCACCACAGCTGCCACAGGGTGTCTCACGTGCCTCTGGCAAGCAGCTCTGCACATGCACAGGCAGAGCCACTTTGTTGTGCTTAATCCTTGAAGCAATAAAAGACGGCTGCATTAAGTCAAATTTCCGAACCAGAAGGTCTTCATTTGATATTAGATCCCAGTGCCAAGTTCTGCAAAATCCCCAACCCATAAACTCCAGCGAAAAAATAAAAATAATAAAAGCCCAATCTGGCAGCAGAGCTATCCACAGCATTGTTGAGGTCTGACTTCCTCCACCAGCTCCTGCACTGCATTCCCCGTGCTGTGACACTGAGGGGCTGCTGCTTTTGGCCATCCCTGTGCCCTGCCCTGGCAGTGGGAGCTGCCCCAGCCCCTGCAGCTCCCCCACAGCAGCTGCTCCAAGAAATCCACAGTGCCACAGGCCTCCCTCCAGGAGCAGAGTGCTTCAGCGCTGTAAAACATCAGGAAATGTTTTACAGGGGGATTCCCATGGCCCTCATGCCAGCGCACAGGCAGCACGCTGCTCTGGAGAAGGAGGAGGAGGCAGAGCCTGAGGCAGGCTGCAGGATCTGCGCCTGCTGCTGCTCCACAGAGCCAGAGCAGCATCTGGAGCTGCACTGCAATCAGCCTGGCAGGCACGGCTCTGAGCCTGGGGATGTGACTGCAGTCATGGGACAGGCAAACCTCTGTTGGCACAGCTCGGGTGGGTCTGAGCCTCCTGCAGATCAGTAACTCACCAGAACAGCACAAACAAATCACAGACCAGGAAACAGAGCAGCCCAGTGTGGGGTAGCACAGAGCAGGGCACTGAAAATCTGGTTTTTTCCCCTAAAAGCCCATAGCTGAGCAGGGTCATGCTGAGCAGGTGCCCCAGGAGGTGGGGATGGACACACACCGTGTCAGGTACAGCCCTGGGGGTGGGAGCAGGGGGGTCTGACACACCCAGAAGCACAGACTGAGTGCTGAGGCTCATCCTACAACAAGTGCACACACAT